CATGTCGCATCCTTCACCAGCGCCCTCTACGACCATGTCGCATCCTTCACCAGCACCCTCTATGTTTGCATGAGGAGGCGAAACAGATTCACCGGACGACTGTCCTTCACAAATGTCACCGGCAATAACGCTCTCATTGCCACCTGGTGGGCAACCCACAGCGAGCCCAGCGCCCTCTACAGTCTCATCGTGCTTGCTGCTTCTCAACGACTCACTAAGTACGCCGGACCTGGCATCATGACCTTTAACAGCGCCATCTATAATTTCATCGTGCACGTGACTTTTGACGGTTGACGTGCCACAGGACACGCTCTCAGTAGCTGCACCGACGCCCTCTACACAGCTTTTGCTAACTGCACCAGCGCCCTCTACACAGCTCTCGCCAACTGCNTCTTGCTAACTGCACCAGCGCCTCTAGACAGCTCTCGCTAACTGCACCAGCGCCCTCTATACAGCTCTCGCTAACTGCACCAGCGCCCTCTACACAGCTCTCGCTAACTGCACCAGCACCCTCTACACAGCTCTCGCTAACTGCACCAGCGCCCTCTAGACAGCTCTCGCTAACTGCACCAGCGCCCTCTACACAGCTCTCGCTAACTGCACCAGCGCCCTCTACACAGCTCTTGCTAACTGCACCAGCGCCCTCTAGACAGCTCTCGGACAGCTCTTGCCAACTGCACCAGCGCCCTCTAGACAGCTCTCGGCAACTGCACCAGCGCCCTCTAGACAGCTCTTGCTAACTGCACCAGCGCCCTCTAGACAGCTCTCGCCAACTGCACCAGCGCCCTCTAGACAGCTCTCGCTAACTGCACCAGCGCCCTCTAGACAGCTCTCGCTAACTGCACCAGCGCCCTCTAGACAGCTCTCGTTACTTCCAGGGAAGCGGTCCACGACGCTGTTGCTACCATCGCCAGCGCCCCTCTGTGGAGGACTCACGGATCGGTCATTCTCCACGCTTCGCGGCTCAACGTCGTCGGCCACACACTTCCTGGGCGTCATCACTAGCTCCCAGGAAGAGTCACAGCCACGGTCGTGACCGCCGCGGTCGTCGTCGCCGCGGTCATCACTGCTACCATTCTTGTCTGTACCGACTGTTGTCAAGGCAACGAGGAGCTGCTGTGTTGGTATGTTGCCGGGTGCTGGTGGCTCCAGGGTTCGCTGCTTCGCTCCATTGTCGTCGCGTGACGAAACACACGGTGTCACCGCCACGGTGACAGAGACAGACCGAGGAAAATTAATGCCCCTTAGCAGCCTTGCAGCATCCCTTGCCAGGCTATGAGCGCCCCCTAGCGGCCTCGCAGCATGAGCCAGCGAATCGAGCCACCGCTGGTGCACTCCGATCACCGTGGGTCGCGGCGAGGTCACGCGTGTGGAGTTCGTGCGCGCGCACACTGTCGCGGAGCAGGCAGATGTACGAGTGGACACGGGTAAACGGCAGAGACTGCAGCAGCATCTCTGCTAGTCCTCCATTCCTGAGTAGCGAGAAAAAACACGCACAAGCTCGTCGCATCGTCGCACTACTGGTGTTACTACTACTGTTATTACAGGCATCACTTACTCATTATCATCTGCTATTTAATATTAATAGTATTACTTATTATTTATTATTAGTATTATCATCGCATTAATGGTGTTACTACTGCTGTTATTACAGGCATCACTTACTCATTATCATCTGCTATTTAATATTAATCGTAATAGTATTACTTATTATTTATTATTAGTATTATCATCGCATTAATGGTGTTACTACTGCTGTTATTACAGGCATCACTTACTCATTTGCCTTTTAGGCTCATCTGACATAGTCAGATGACAGCTTGTAGAATCGCATGATCGTCGTGCGTCCGTCCGGTCCGTCGTGCGCTCCGTCAACAGTTGGGCCAGCAAATCCTTAACCGCGCGACGTACGGTCACGATAATTCGGATGGGGGGCCGTAATCCGAAAACGAGTTGGGGATGTCAAAGCTGGCGGTCAAAGGTCAAAGGTCAAGACGGTGTAAAAAGAAGGGGAACATTCACATCCTTAACTTAAGGTATAGGAGGAAATTGCAGAATTGCGGCCACAAATCCTAAACCGCTCGACCTCAGGCTCGTGTAGTCGGGTAGTAGCCCATCATGGTAGGCAAAACCCATCACTGTGCCGGAAATTGGAGTCACAAGGTCAAAAGGTCAGTGGGCACATGCGCAGATTTTAAGACATTTTCTGAGGACATGCCGTCTGACGGAGCCGATTGGAAAACTTTTTTGTTTCAGCGGTGACCTAGCATTTTATGCTGTATTGAAAGGACCATGAAATTGTCCTTCTGCTGACATTGCGAAGCAGTAATGTCGGATAATCCTTTTGCCAACCCTCAAGAGGAGGGTTAAAACTTGGATTTGCTTGGACTGTCTGTTAGAAAGAATTTGACTGCCGGTTGCTAGTAGGAATCTATACATGCCTGGATGTATGAGGCTACAAGGTCACAGTGAAATTTTCAAAAGCCTAAATTTGGTTAAAAAGAAGGTTCCTTAAATCATATAATTTCTAGGTCATTCTGTACTGTCAGTATGTTACATGTAACGTATGCACTGCCAGTGGCTGGCTGCCAGTGGCATGTGTTGGTACAGTTTTTGCCTGCCGTTAGATTGGTTACAGGTGGCAGCTCTCTATTGCCAATTTGGCAGCCTGTAGGCATTGCGTAAGGTAAATGGCATGAGTGCTTACCGATTCGTCTTGCCAAATAGTTGTTGCTACTACGTATGATGGCGAGCTTCCATCTTTAACTGAAGACACTTAAACGTACCGCCATCTCGGGCCAACTTTCATAACGATCCCAACGAACATTCTTTTGAGGAAGCGTCGTATACCATCCCTGCTGCATTCACTGTCTTCGGCGTGTATGTGAAGCACATTTGGGACTAGCAGGGTTTACGGGAGCAATCCCACCACTCACACACAGAGTCACCGCAGTAGCGTTAGCATGAGCGCTGGTCGCTCTGCGGCACCCTTGTTAATATTAATATTATCGTCGTATTTCTAGTGTTACTACTACTGTTATTACAGGCATCACTCACTAATTATCATTTACTATTAAATACTAGTAATGCGCCGTTTATCCAAGGTCCCGCAAAACCAGGACCATTGTCATGCAAGAATGTTGTTAGCCATGACGACTAGAACTTGCGTTCTCCGTCACGTGTTTTCAAATCATAAAACTCATGTACGTTGTCTTAACAGCTGCAGAGGAAAACTGATTGCTTCGGATAAATGCACAGAGGCAATCAAAAACATCCAGCACCCAAGATGTACACTCACTGTCTACTACGGCTCTAACTTTCCACAGGGAAATTCAATATCTCTTCCATAAGAATGGGACCTGATACGTGCAACGGTCCATGAAGCTTGAGTAAATCTTCTATGAACCTAGCAAGACGAAAGACATCTGTATAAACTGATGACAGCTCACACTGCAGTATGTTACCATAGAGACTATGATGGCTCACTCACATGTCACCATCTCACATCTAAACCAACTGCCAGGAAAATTAGGGGGAAAAACATAACAAAACGTAATTTAAAATATCGTCACAACTACCTTAAATTTGCTCGACACTTTTAGGAACACTAATAGATGTATGATGACTAGAATTTCGGCGTTCCGCGATCAATTCTGATCTTATTAATCTTGTGCAGTGTGCAGTGTGTGTGTGTTGTTGTGTGTGTGTGTTGCTGTGCCGGTGTGTGTGTGTGTGTGTGTGCTGCTGTGAGAGAGCAGAGGAGAGAGAGAGAGCCGAGCAGAGAGAGCGAGTGAGAGAGAGAGAGAGTGAGCAGAGCAGAGAAAAGCGAGAGAGAGAGAGCGGTGAGAGAGAGATGAGAGAGAGAGCGAAGAGAGAGAGAGAGAGAGCGACTGTGAGCAGAGAGGACAGAATAGGAAAGAGAGAGAGAGAGAGAGATAGTGAGCATAGCAAAGGAGACGAGAGAGCCGAGAGTGAGAGAGCACGAGAGAGAGACAGAGCGCAGACAGAGCAAGACGAGAGAAGAGAAAGAGAGAGAGAAGAGACGAGAGAGCGCCGAGAGAGAGCAGAGAGCGAGAGAGAGAGAGAGAAAGAGAGAGACAGCGAGAGAGAGAGAGAGAGAGAGAGAGAGAGAGCAGAAGAGAGAGAGGAGAATTAGAAAGAGAGGAGGAGCGAGAGAGAGCAGAGAGAGACAATAGCAAAGAGAGAAGAGCAGAGAGAGAGAGAGAGCGAGAGAGAGAGCGAGAGGAGAGAGCGAGAGGAGAGAGCGAGAGCGAGAGAGTGAGACGCAGGAGAGAGAGAGAGAAGAGAGACAGGCGCGAGAGAGAGAGAGGAGAGGAGAGATGGAGGAAAGAGAGAAAGAGAGAGAGAGAGAGGGAGAGAATAGAGATGCTCAGCAGCATCATCACGAGAGTCAGAGCAAAATTCAGAGCAAAATTCGAAGAACAAGCCGAGCCTACTGCAAGTTCCAACCAGTCAGTCGTTCACGGCCAACTATTCATAGCTTAACTATGGCAGCATCAGCAATTTTTACCTTAGAAACTCTAGAAACCAACCCAGTGTTACTAAACGCTGTAGCATCTACCCAGGTTTCCCTGCTCAATTGCATTAATCATTCGAATGACATACATATGTAAACTACACCCCGTAACGCATACGCCGGCTGCCATGAGCGATCTGTATAAATGAGTCACATATAGCTTACATACAGCCCCCATGCTGCTAATATTTTTTACACGTACGAGCACAGGGTGGCTTTTATCAGAGAATCAGCATCGTCATCGTTGTTGTTGTTGTTGTGGTGGTGGTGGTCCTGCCCGCGGTACAGACTGTCCACTGTGGCTATGTCGTTGCGCAAATGCTCGGGCATGCGGAATGGGTCGGTATCGAATCTGAGAGGAAAATAAGCCACCTAATCTCATGACGCATACACGCATGCACGCACACATATGCACGCGCGCGCACACACGTATGCACGCACGCACGCAGGCATGCACACTAATACACACGCACATATGCAAACCTAAAGCACACAGCATGAATATAAACATAGATACGTACGTATATACAAAC